GTGGTTTGAGTCGCGGGTTGGTCGCGAGTTGGTCGCGGGGGGGGGGCGCGGGTTCTCTACCTGTAAGGAATGCAGAAAAAACCCGCCGCAGGCGCCGAAAATGGTGGTTTGTACCTTGAACGTGGTTTGGATCGAAGGTGGGTCGCGGGGTGGGTCGCGGGTGGATCACGGGTGGGTCGCGGGTGGGTCGCGGTTGGGTGCGGGTGGGTCGCGGGGTGGGCCGCGGGCGGGTCGCGGGGGGGGTCGCGGGTGGGTCGCGAGTGGGTCGTGGGTGGGTCGCGGGGTGGGTCGTGGGGTGGGTCGCGGGGTGGGTCGCGGGTGGGTTACGGGTGGATCGCGGGTGGGTCGTGGGTTTGGTCGCGGGGTGGGTCGCGGAGTGGGTCGCGGGGTGGGTCGCGGGTGGGTCGCGGGTGGGTCGCGGGTGGGTCGCGGGGTGGGTCGCGGGGTGGGTCGCGGGTGGGTCGCGCGGCGGTATGCGGGTGGGGCGACGACAACAAACACCAACAAACAACAAACAACAACAAAAATCCGCACCGCGGAATCCCATTTCAGCCACGCACCCAGGGACAGTGAATGACCGCTCGGCCCCTTCACTCTGTTTATTCATCGTTTTCCATTACTGCTACTGCTACGGTTGCTGTTCCTCCTAGGGCTACCCGTTGTCGTCGCCGCCAGTCGTCGTCGTCGTCTTTGTCGCCGCCAGTCGTCGTCATCGCCGTCGTCGTCGTTGTCGTTATCGTTGTGTTTGTCGTCGCTGCCGCCAGCCGTTGTCGTCTTGTTTTTCGGCGTCGTCGTGGCCGCTGCCCCTGCTGCTAGTATTTCTTATAATGTTTCTGGTTGTGCTTTTGCCGTACCACTAAGTACTGCTAATGCTATGCCCGCTCCCGCCACGTTGCCCTTACCCCGCCATGGGGGCCCGATCACCCCAATAACGGACGCGACGGGGGGAATGGAAACGATCTCCACGCCGAGAGGTTGAGCTGGAGGAGATGACCACAGCGCGGCTCCGCTGCAGCAACATGTTCGGCGACATGCGCATCGGCCATATGCTGCCGCGGCTGCCGATGTTCCGCGGCTGTGGCGGGGAGTTCCTCGAGGCCCTCCGGCAGCGGGCGCGGAAGGTGCTCCTCCGCGCCGGGCAATGCGTGGTGCAGGAGCCAGCTGCGCACCAATCACCGATCCTGGCCGGGCCCATCCTGGGCCCAGGATCGGTGTATACAAATTGGGGGATGAAAAAACAAAAACGGGGTCCTCTGCGCCGCCATTGGCGCGTGAGCTGCCCGCGTAAGGTCGCGCGTGAGCCGCGGTGGCGGCCCGCGTAAGCTGCGGCGAAGGTCGCTATGCCATCTCGCGTGAGACCCGCTTTTGCTCGTCGTTCGCTTGCATACACATCAATTTCCGGAGCTCCGCGCGGATGCCTTGGGTCGGCTCCGGGCCCCCCTTGGCGGCGCCTCTGGCGCGCTCCGCGCGCCAGGAAGGGGGGGCCCCGCGCCGGCCTCAAAAGTCCGCGCGGAGCTCCGAAGGCTATCTCTTCCCCTTTGCCTCGTTCGCTTATGTTCGTGCGCTGTCTCTTCCCCCTTGCCTCTGGCCCCAAGGGGCGCAGGAGGCCCGCTCCAGCAGAGGAGCAACCGCGCGAGGCCCCCCAGAAGGGGAGGTGGGCCCGCCACATGCGAACCCTAACCCTTCCCCCCACGACTTCTGAAGGGGAGGGTGGGGCTCACTTCGCTCGGGAGCTCCCGAACGAAGTGAACCCCACCCTCCCGCTCAAAAGTCGTGAGGGGTAGTCGTTGGGTTCGCATGTGGCCCCCTACCCTGGGGTTGGGGCGGAGCGCCTCCTCGGATTTAGCCAAGGCTCGCCGTAGTCAGCACAGCCCGTTCGTTCCTCTTTCAGTCGGAGAGAAGAAAAATCGTCATAAAGATAGATGTTCGGAGCTCCGCGCGAATTTCGTGGATCTGCGGTGCGCCGCCCCCGGCGCGCTCCGCGCGCCAGGGAGGGGGCCCAGCGCAGATCCAAGAAATCCGTGCGGAGCGCTAAAAAAGTTTATGCTTGTGCCGTTGTTGTTTTTTCTCTGCTTCTACTCTTGGTCGAGCCGAGAGAGCATATGCACCGATCCTGGGCCCAGGCCTGGCCCACCCAGGATCGGTGACAGAGTGCGCGGGCCGAGCTGTGCTTTGGCGATCTCGCGGGCCGCGTTCGTGCCGACTCAGTTCTGCAGCAGTCGCGGAACTGCGGGCAACATTTGTGTCCACATCCTCTGCAGTTTGGAGTTTCGGGCTCCCTTCCACCAAAACCTGAGGCGCACTGGACATGGAACATATTCTTGCCCCAGCAGAAGCTCGATCCTTATCCACATCCAGTGCGCCTCGGCCTTGCCGCGCCCAGAGAAAGTCCAAGATGCACTGGATATGGATATAGATATTGCGCTCGCAGGAACGAGGGCAGAGCGAGGGAACACGAGCATTAAGCCGGGCCTGCCCCTTATCACGCATCCCGTCACCCTCGAGGGCCGAGGTATCCAGGGTCGGCGGCACTGGCCGTAAGGCCTTAGCAACAAAAAATAATCCAAACATGCTCCAAAAATGCTCAAGAATACTAACAACAAATCGTCCCCTGACTATTTTTAATTTTATTTTTGAATATTCCTCCTGTAGAGACGTCGGAGGTAAATGAAGACGTGGCGGAGGAGGAGGAGGAGGAGGCGCAGGAGGAGCAGGGGGAGGAGGAGGAGGGGGAGGGGGGAGGAGGGGGGACGAGGACGAGGAGGAGGAGGAGGAGGAGGAGGAGGAGGAGGAGGAGGAGGGGGAGGGGGAGGGGGAGGGGGAGGAGGCAAGCTAGGTGCGCTCGCGTCATATCTGACATCCTACCCCTCCCTCCCATCCCTTACCATGGCGCAGATCCCCTCTCTACTCGAACAGTCGGATGTCGAGCAGGACGATGATCCCGAAAGGGTACGTGATGCATTGTAGAGCACGGCGTGCACGGCGTGGCATGGCGTAGAATGAGCACCGCAAAGCGCAGTATCAACCTAGCATTGCATTGCATGCCGTGGCATGGCACGGGAAATGACGCCAGCGCTGCAGCGGGAGCACGAGTCGAAACGAGCGGAAGCGCGGAAATGAGGCCAGCGCTGCAGCGGGAGCACGATTCGGAACGAGCGGAAGCACGCCGGAATCGGCCCGGGAGGCCTCCTCGGAACTCCATTTTCCGGCGGCGGCCGGAACCGGCTCCGGACCCGGCCCGAGCGCCGGCCTGGGCGCTGGCTCGGGCATGCAGCCCGGGCGCCGGCGGAAATGATGCCAGCGTTGCAACGGGAGCACGATTCGGAACGAGCGGGGCCCGAAAATGATGCCGGCGCCTCAGCGAGAGCAGCATTTTGGAAAAAATGCAGGCGAAAACCCAACTCTGGGGAAACTTGCGTGTAAAAAAACAGTACGCGGGGGGGGGGGGGTCGGCTACTCCCATTCCGTCATGGGAAGAGGGAGAGTAGTATTCATATTGAGTAATTGTAGAGGGAGAGGGTCGCCCGGGAGGATGCGTATCTGACCCCCCCCCCACACACCCTCCCCCATCCCCCCTCCCCTCCCCATCCCCCCCCCAGTGGGGAGGGTAATTAGGGAGAGGCTTCGCCACGACTTCGATTTCTTTTTGTTTCGTGTTCGATTTCCTTTTATTTCGGTCGACGACGACGACGACGACGACGACGACGACGACGACGACGACGACGACGACGGTGATCCACGCAAGACGACGACACTGGGATGCGTCTTCCACACGCCGACAGGGTTGGCGGATTTGTCGCCCAAAATCCCCTTGCATGGGGACTCGCCTGAGCTAACACGAGCACCAGACGAGAACGGAAGGCGCGGCTTGGCTCGCGCCCTGATCGGTGGCCTTCGTGCGCCGCTGGCGCCCGCCCGCAGGAGGGGATGCCGAGCTCGGCGAGCATGTACCTGGTCGCCTGGGGGTGCGTGGACGTGCACCGGGGCGGGCGCTGCTGCCGCAGGATTCGAGAGCTGTAAGAGATGTTCGAAACGGCCCGGACGCTCAGAAGCGCTACGAATCGGCCGCGGCGCCCGATTCATCTCGAAGAAGATATGCCATAAACATAACCTTTTGGCGCTCCGCGCGGATTTCTCGGATCCGCGCTGGGCCCCCCTGGCGGCGCCTCCGGCGCCGCCCCTGGCGCGCTCCGCGCGCCAGGGAGAGGGGGGTCCAGCGCAGATCCAAGAATTCCGTGCGGAGCGCCAAAAGTTTGTTTTTATGAAATTATCTTCTCCTAATTAACATCCTCCAGGCCCGCCGACTCTCAGGGATTTCCGATTCATATCGGTCCGATTGTGTCTCGATTCTGCCTTCGTCATCGGTCGGGTGCCCCCAGACGGGGGTCAATGCAAACGGGGGTCGGCCAGAGCGCCGGATATTGCCGGATCCTGCAGAGCCAGGGCCGCATTGACTTGGGCTTGCGCGCAGGATCCTGCAGGATCCTGCAGTTCCTCGCAAATCCTGACTGACCCTGGTTAGCCCAGGTCAGTACGTCCCCGAAGGATCCCCGAGGGCGGCTCCTTCGGCGAGGCCAACCTCCTGGGGCACCTCACGAGGCTCGCAGAGCAGAGCGCCGCGTGCAGGGGAGCAATAGAGGGTTTCTCCGAAGGGCGTAGGCGACCCGTCCTCCCCCTCCTCCTCCTCCTCCTCCTCCTCCTCCTCCTCCTCTCCTCCTCCTCCCTCCTCCTCCTCCTTCCCCTCCTTTATCCTTCCTCCTCCTTCCTCTCCTCCTCCTCTCCTCCTCCTCCCTCCTCCCCCTTTTCCAGTCCGCCCCACTGCTCTCTGGGGGCTGCCCCGAGGGGGACCGTCCACGGTCCAGTGCGCCCCAGGCCAGCCTCGTCTTGAGGCAGGCCCTGGGCTGCGACGCGGGCTCAAGGCTGCCCGCGCCCTCTGTGCCGGCCATCCAGCGCGCAAGGGGCAATGGGGGGGGGAGCAGGAGGGGCGGCCGAGAGGGGAATGGGAAGGGGCCGGGGGGCGGGGGCCGTCGCGGTGGGCGGGCGGGCAGTCGGGGTGGCCGCGGAAGCCGTGGTCGTGGTGGTCGAGCAGGTAGTGGTCGAGCTGCTGGTCGTCGTGGTGGCCGTGGTAGTCGTGGTGGTCGTGGTGTTAGTGCTGGCGGCCGGCCTGGGGGTGGCTGTGGTGCTCGCGGTGATCGTGGTGGTCGTTGGTGGTCGTGGTGGTCGTGGTGGTCGTGGCCGTGGCGGTCCAGGCGGTCCAGCTGGTGGTGGTCGTGGTGGTCGTGGTGGCCGTGGTGGTCGTAGTGCTGGTGGGTCATTTAGCACGCACTGAGAATCATCTCGGTGTTGCCCACAACCAACGTGCGCTGGATGCGGCGCCACGTGGTGGCGATGACAGCTGACCGCTCTGCTTCGGGCAAATATTTTCCGTACGAGCGGACAAATGAGACAAGCTCATCCGCCGGCCGCCCTCCCGTTTCCAGGACAGCTGGGACCAGCTCGCCGCCCGAGGGGGGATAGCGGTTCCGTTTGACGCCCACCGCCTGTGACGCGGCCAGCCCGTCATTGTTGGATCTTGCCCACCTGCGCTCGAGGTTGTCAGAGTGTGCGCAGGTGACAGACCAATCAACATAGATAGGCTGTCCAGTGGTCGCGTCGCGGGTAGCCACGTCGAGGCGGGCTTCTTCCAGCTCCCCGGTGAGAGGGTCAGGGCGGTCCCACGCAGGGACACGTTTCTCGGTGACCGCCATGTGGCCCGTCTGCGCCTGGTGGAAGGGCGCATTCCAGTCTCGGAGGCTGTTGTGGCGGTGGTCGCGAGAGCCCCCGCAGCCGCGTTTCAAGGGGTGCCAGCCCTCGGGGTCCAGGGGCGCACCACATATCGTGCCGTCTCGCTTGCGGTGCTGGCAAGCCGCCCCTGGCGTGCAGACGTCAGCCCGGAGGTGCTTGCGCAGGCCCACGCGGAAGTGGGCGTCAGGGATCGGCGCGTCCCCTTCCTGGCGCGGGAGAAGCCAAATCCCCGCCGAGGTCCCGCTGCTCTCGCGGAGGGCGAGCCGGTCGTCTTCGCCAAGGGTTTGCAGCAACTGTCTCCGCCTGTGCTCGGAAGTGCGCTTGCCCCAGTAGTCCTGTAGCTTGGCGCGTGGCTCTGCCAAGTAGTTCCCCCAGCAAATGGGGCCCTCCTTCGCCCCTTGGGCGTCCAGCTCGGTTTCCGCGCTCCTGATGTCCCGGGCAATGCGCGGGCACCTGGACCGAAAGCCGTCGAGGGAGGTGACCCCGAGGCAAGCGGCAACGCTGGGGAGGACGAGGGCCCAGCTGCCCAAGTACGCGCGCGCAGCCGTGTCCCGTGCTGACGGGAAGGCGCAGCCGCCGTCGGACAATCCCAGTCTGGCCTGCTCGCGCTGGCAGGCGTCGAAGGCGAAGCCGGCGAACTCTTCGTAGGCGCCCCACACAAGGTCATCCAGCTGCGCCGCCCAGGCGGTCTCATAGTTGGCCCGGAGCAAATGAGTAGCGCACCCCTGCGCATATGTGCGCAGGAGTGTGTGGGCACCCTCGGCTGTCAGCCCGTTGTCCCGCAGCTGTCGCCAGTGCCACAGGAAGCGCCGCGTCTTGTCGAGGACGTCACGTCCGTCGGTCGTGCCGTGAACAGGGAGTCGTCCGTCCTCGTCGTCGTCGCGGTCGTACCACGAAACCGGGTTCCCGAGCACCGTGAGGGCGGGGACCTGGCGCGCCTCCAGCTGCTGCGGCAGCGCCGTGCCTTGGGCGGGCGTCCACGCCTGCGTCCCTCCTCCCTCCTCCTCCTCCTCCTCCTCCTCCTCCTCCTCCTCCTCCTCCTCCTCCTCCTCCTCCTCCTCCTCCCCCTCCTCCTCCATTTCCTTCTCCTCCTCCTCCTCCGCAGGTCCGCGCGGAGGAGTAACGGGTAGGGAAACCGTGTAGGGAGCAAGAGGTCGTGAAGTGTGCACTCAGAGGAGGACGAGGTCGTGATGATGACGCGTTGCAGGTCCATGATCTCCGATGCGTTTGAATTCCACATGCGTTCCGCACGGGCTCAAGAAACGAGGACCGATAAATAATGCGGAATTCATGGGACGTATCGGCTACACGTCAGGTTGACCCTTCGCTGGAGTGACCTTTGCCTTTGGTGCGGGCCCACTGGGGCCCCCGGTCGCCGAACGCGATGCGTGAATAGCGTCTTGCGCGCTTGTGTTTGATCCCCCCGCGGCCCCTAACAGCCGCGCGCCAAAGGTCACTCCTTCCCTGGGCAACTCTTGCGTGTGGCCGACCGTATCCTGAGCCAATCGCATCATGACGTCATTCTCGTCCCACGCATGGGCGTTCACTTTCTGAGGTCAAATCGGACCCCTCGGATCGGCGCTGGTCGCCCTCTCCCTTGCGCACCTCCAGCGCGCCAGGGGCAGCGCCAGAGGCGCCGCCGGATGTCGGCCATCGCCAATTCATGATGTCCGCGCGGACCTGCGGACATTGCGTTTTGTGCCGTGTTCTTGGATCCTCCAGATCCAGATATCCGCCGTTTTGATGTTTTCCATGGGAGGCCCCAAAGCTCCTGACCCCTTCCCCAAGGCAAGTTTTCGTCCCGGATGCATGTTTGGTGGTCCTGGGGCCCAGAAGCATCGCAGGCCTAGAGGTTAACCCCAATATCGGCGGTGTGCCTCCACCGAGGGAAGAAGGTGCCGATTTTGTTGATGGTGGTAATACTCTGGCTTCCAAGGTGACCGAAATACTACCACCAACCCCGACATCGAGGATCATCTTCCCCCTGTGGAGGCAACCCCCTGCGTTGGTGTTGGTGCCCATTTCCAGGCATCCAAAAGCAGGCCCCGGGGGCCCAAATCGAGGAGAAAACGCTTGCCGAGAACAACACATCGTCGGAGGTGCGATGCTTTTTTTGTGTCCGCGTGGGATGCCTGGGCGCCCCGGCCCTTCGACCCTTTCTCTAGGATTAAGTCGGGCGTGTCCTTCTACAGGGGGAATATTGAAAAGTAGTTCAAAATAGTCTGGGGACGATCTTGTGAGCATGCTTTTGATTTTTGGTGGTGTACTGTTTGCGTATATTCAATTTTTCGCCCAAGATCCGCCTGTGGGGGGACATTCCCGGCCTAACTCTAGGGCCGGTTTCTCATCCCGAGTTGTTTTTCGGACGGCCCGACCCTTCCGCCGTGGTTCTGTTTCACGACTCGAGCGTGTCTGGGTTTGTCAGGGTCCATTTCGATCCGATCGATCCGATTCAGCGTCGATTCCTGCTGACCCGATCTGATTGGATTCCGATATTCCGACGGTTCGATGCGGCCCGATGTTTGCGTGTCGTTGTTGTGCATCCTGGCGCAGCCGATCCCATCCGATTTCGATTGCGTGCCGATGCAGCCCGATCCGATGCACGTTTCGAGCCGATTCGATTTACCGATTCGATGCTGACTGCTTGACTGCTCCTGTCTTGTCTGTTCCTCCAGGCCAGCGCTTTGATCTCCGGGCGATAGCGGGCGTTAGGGGGGGAAGGGGAGGGGGGGCCGACAAGCTAGGTGCGCTAGCGTCACATCTGACGTCCTACTCCTCCCTCCGATCCTTACCATTCGCATAGTCGGATGTCGAGCAGGGCAATGGTCCCAAGTACGCGATGTATTGAAAAGCGTGACGTAGAAGAGCACGGCAGAGCATAGTATGTCGTAGCATTGCGTGACATGGCGCGGCGAAGCATTGCATCACAAAGCATGGCAACGCAAAGCATGGCATCGCACAGCGGTGCACAACATAGAATCGTATTGCATGCCGTGGCATGGCACTGGATGATTTGGAGGGCAAATGGCCCGTCTACGAGAAGACAGGGCCTGTCCAGAATGCCGGCTCCATGTCCTCCGCAACCGTGCCTGCCCGATGTGGGCGCTTTCGAATGCCATGTGCGCTTTCGAATGCCAAGTGCCGTCTGGAGGCGCGGGGACGAGGTCAGCGCTGTAGCGGGAGGGAGCACGATTTTGAATTACCGAAGCGCGGAAATGAGGGCGGCGCTGCAGCGGGAGCATAAAATTGGAAGAACCATAAACGACCGGATTAAAACAAACTTTGGAATAACCAAATAATGGAATCTTGCATGTCAGAAACAATACGCGGAGAGAACGGGACACTCTCCAGACAGAGTCAGGGGAGAGGAGAGTAGTATTCATAAAGTGTAACTTTTACCGTCACATTTCGCTCCAGCGCCGTCGGGGACCGCCCATAAATAAGCAAATACAACTCGGAGGTCAGCGCGAGTCGTGATGCTGCCTCTGATGGGGGGGCAGAGGGGGGCAGATAACGTCACATTGCGCGCCGCCGCCGTCTGGGAACGCCTACAAAATACCAATACAACTCGGATGTCAGCGCGAGTCGTGATGCTACCTCTGGTGAGGGGAAAGGAGGGAGGGGGGGCCGATAATGTCACGTTGCGCGCAGGCGCCGTCTGGGAGCGCCTAGAAATAACGAAAGACAGCTCGGAGGTCGTGGTTGCTGCCTCTGGTGAGGGCGGTCAGGGTCGTGCGGGTGGCAATGGGGCCTGACTTCAGCGGGGGGTGAAGACAACGGCCCTACAGGGGCTCTTTAGGGCCCCTTTTGGAGCCAGTTGGTGCCCAAAAGGGGCCCCTTGACGTCCCTTCCTTCATCCCCCATTGGGGTCCCCACTGCCACTCGCCCAACAGGGCCGGGAACGGCCGCGACCCGCCCGCTGTCCAGAGGTGGCCGTGCACGGTGGTGGCCTCGGCGGTGACGATGACCTGCGAGATCAGCCACGCCGCCCTCCACGCGGCCCTGGCCCTCCACGCCTGCGAGGCCTCGGTGGCAGTAGTTACCGTGGAGGCCCATGCCAAGGAACACCCTGCTTGCCTCCAGGGTGCCCTGGGTCTCTTGGGTTTCGATTGGTTTTGCTATGGGAAGCGGTACGTTCGTTCCCACGCCAAAAGTCAATGGACGTCCTGGGGTCTCATGGTTGGGTTTCTCGTGGAAGGTTTCTTGTGGTCGAGCTCATATTGTAGGTGTCCGACTATGGACCCGTTGTTAAACTCAGCCATCCAGCTTTCGCGCCGAAGACCGCCGGAAGCCGCCGAAGACCGTCGGAGACCACCGAAGACCGTCAGAAGACCTCCGAAGACCGCCCGAAGACCGCCCGAAGACCACCCGAAGACCGTCGAAGACGGCCGAAGGAGCATTGGTAACACGGGGTCCATGGTTGAACACGTGGCAGTAGGAGCTCGACCACAAGAAACCTTCTACAAGAAAACCCAACCATGAGACTTCAGGGCGTGCATGGACTGTTGGTGTGGGAAGTCACGCTCTTCATAGCAAAACCATCGAAACCCAAGAGACCCAGAGCACCCTGGAGGCAAGCAGGGTGTTTCTTGGCATGGGTTTCCACTGTACACGTAAGAGTGGCCTTTCGCCGGAGTGATCTTTTTGGTGCGGGCCCACTGGGGTGCCCCCATCGCCGAACGCGATGCGATTGTAGCGTCTTGCGCGCTCGTGTTTGGTTCCCCTGTCGCCCCCCCAAAGCCGTGCACCAAAGGTCACTCTAACCTTGGGTCACTCTTGCGTGTACCCGAGAGGCCGACCGGCTCGCCCTGGCGCTCGGGGGCCCTGGAGAGTTCACCGGCCGGCGTGAGCCCGAGCCCTGGAAGGCGGCCGTCGCCACCGCCGTCGCGCCGTCGTCGCGCCCTTGTGCAACAAGCATCACGACTATGCGTTTGAGAGCATATCACGGAAGCTTCCGCTCGTCTTTGACCGCTCGTCTTGGATTGAAGGTACAACGGCGAAGAACAGCGCCAAATAACGCTCGATAGTGCTCAATAGCGCCCAGTAGCCCCGAGCAGCTTTCAGACAGCGCCCAGTGTCGACCAATAGCGCCCAGACGCGCTATGTAATGGAGATACATCATGTTTGCTCTGCGAGCGGTTGGGCGCGCTGTGAGGCGCCCGGGGGACGACCAAACGCTTCCGTGTATGGCTTTCCGGCTTGCGTGCACGGCAGTGGTCCACAGCAGAAGATCCGCGCATGTCCCCCTGACCCCAGAGGCGTGGGGGGGGGCAGGTGGCCTCGACCTCCAGCGGGCTCAGAGAACAGGGCGGTATTGTCGGCTTCACTGCTGAGGGAGGTCGAATCCGCTGCGCAGCCGGGTGCCCGCTCCGGGATAAGTTATCCCGGAGCGGGGCCGCCGAGATTTGGAGGGTAAAGTGGCACGATCGAAATGGGCACGGAAAATATGGGCTCAAACACCAACAGCGATTCTTCTTCATTTTGAACCAGATGATTCGCTGTCCGCCACCGCGCATGTTGTCCACTCGAGGCAGAAAGCCGCCTGCCCAACAGCAGCGGTTGTTGCTTTGGGACATGATTGCCTAACAGCTCTTGCTGATAGGTTTCTAGTGGTGTCAAAAGAGAGCATCTTGACGCCCCAGGGCGGTCTGGGCGGGAACCGGACAAAACCGGCGGGATCCGGCAGCCCCAGGGATCCTTAGGAATCCTTAGGAATTCTTATGAATCCTTCGGAATCCATTCCCAGAACACCATTCCCAGGCCACATTTTGAATGCCCGGAGCCAACTGTAGGCCACTTCGTGTTCTTCGTGTTCCCAGAACACAATTCCCAGGCCACATTTTGAATGCCCGGAGCCAACTATAGGCCACTTCGTGTTCTTCGTGTTCCCAGAACACCATTCCCAGACCACATTTTGAATGCCCGGAGCCAACTGTAGGCTACTTCGTGACCTTCGTGTTCCCAGAACACCATTCCCAGACCATATGCTGAATGCCCGGAGCCAACAGTAGGCCACTTCGTGTTCTTCGTGCTCCCAGAACACCATTCCTGTACGATATTTTGATTGCCCGGAGCCAAATGTGATTGCCCGGAGCTAACTGTGGGCCGCTTCGTGACCTTCGTGTTCCCAGAACACTAGTCCTGTGTCATATTTTGAATGCCCGATCTGAGGAATGCTGAGGCCGAGGCAGGCTGAGGCCGAGGCCGAGGCTGAGGCTGAGGCTGAGGCTAAGGCTGAGGCAGGCCGAGGCTGAGGCAGGCTGAGGCTGAGGCTGACGCAGGCTGAGGCCGAGGCAGGCTGAGGCTGAGGCTGAGGCAGGCTGAGGCTGAGGCAGGCTGAGACTGAGGCTGAGGCAGGCTGAGGCTGAGGCTGAGGCTGATGCAGGCTGAGGCTGAGAGGCTGACGCTGAGGCTGAGGCAGAGCTGAGGCTGAGGCCGAGGCCGAGGCAGGCTGAGGCTGGCAGAGAGGGCTGAGCTGAGGCAGGCTGAGGCTGAGGCTGAGGCTGTGGCTGAGGCTGAGCAAGCTGCGGCTGAGGCAGGCTGAGGCTGAGGCTGATGCAGGCTGAGGCCGAGGCAGGCTGAGGCTGAAGCTGAGGCAGGCTGAGGCTGAGGCAGGCTGAGACTGAGGCTGAGGAAGGCTGACGCTGTGGCTGAGGCTGATGCAGGCTGAGGCTGAGAGGCTGAGGCTGAGGCTGAGGCTGAGGCTGAGGCTGAGGCTGAGGTCGAGGCAGGCTGAGGCTGAGGCTGAGGCAAGCCGAGGCAGGCTGAGGCTGAGGCTGAAGCTGAGGCAGGCTGAGGCTGTGGCTGAGGCCGAGGCAGGCTGAGGCTGAGGCTGAGGTAGGCTGCGGCTGAGGCTGAGGCAGGCTGAGGCCGAGGCATGCTGAGACTGAGGCTGAGGCAGGCTGAGGCTGAGGCTGATGCAGGCTGAGGCTGAGAGGCTGACGCTGAGGCTGAGGCAGTCTGTGGCTGAGGCTGAGGCCGAGGCAGGCTGAGGCTGAGGCAAGCCGAGGCTGTGGCTGAGGCTGAGGCTGAAGCTGAGGCGGGCTGAGGCTGAGGCTGAGGCTGTGGCTGAGGCTGAGGCAAGCTGCGGCTGAGGCAGGCTGAGGCTGAGGCCGAGGCAGGCTGAGGCTGAGGCAGGCTGAGGCTGAGGCTGAGGCAGGCTGAGGCTGAGGCATGCTGAGACTGAGGCTGAGGCTGAGGCTGAGGGCTGAGGCTGAGGCTGATGAGGCTGAGGCTGAGGCTGAGAGGCTGAGGCTGAGGCTGAGGCAGGCTGAGGCCGAGGCTGAGGCCGAGGCAGGCTGAGGCTGAGGCTGAGCCGAGGCTGAGGCTGAGGCTGAGGCAGGCTGAGGCTGAGGCTGAGCTGAGAGGCTGAGGCTGAGGCTGAGGCTGAGGCTGAGGCTGAGGCTGAGGCTGATGCAGGCTGAGGCTGAGAGGAGGCTGAGGCGCTGAGGCTGAGTCAGGCTGAGGCTGAGGCTGAGGCCGAGGCAGGCTGAGGCTGAGGCTGAGGCAAGCCGAGGCTGAGGCTGAGGCTGAGGCTGAAGCTGAGGCAGGCTGAGGCTGAGGCTGTGGCTGAGGGTGAGGCAAGCTGCGGCTGAGGCAGGCGGAGGCTGACAGATATGCTTATACACATCGCTGTTAGGTTGCTTTGCCGGGATAATTTGTTGTTGGGCATTGTCTCAATTTTTCCGTACACATTTCGGGCGTCCAAAATCAAGATCGCGACGGGAGGTTTTTGGCCGTTTTCGGCCTCGGGGGTGCGCGCAGGGCCCTGGCACCGTCAACAGACGGTTCGCGATGAGAAGCTGGCCCCTGGGTTCGCGGGAAACACCAGGGCGTCGCATCTCCGACGAGAAATGTGATGTTTGCGGCCCGCATTTTCCCGTCGATTTTGGAATCACCTTACATGAACTCGGGGCGAAGTGCTGCTCCCGGGGAAAGGGTCGGGACTTTTGGGGCCGCGCGTGAGAGAAATCACATCGTTGGATGTCTGGGTCCGTCGCCGCCACCGCCGCCGCCGCTGGCGCCCATGTCGCCGCTCTCGTTGCCGGCGTCGGCGTCGGCGTCGGCGTCGGTTTGGCCGTCGCTGGCATCGCCGTCGCCGTCGTCGCAGTGGCCGTGGAAGGCGCTGCGCCGCTGCGCGTCCCTGCGCCGCTGCGGGGAGCAGCTGCTGCGCGAGCTGGAGGCCTTCATGGAGCCGCGCCTGTGCTTCCCCGGCGAGGTCCCCGCGCCTCCCGGGCTCAGCTCCTCCTGCTTGGGACGTCCAGAGGTGTCCAGAGGTCTCTGCGAGGTCCCCAGATGAGCGACGCAAAGAAGAGGGGTCGTCTGCGTCGATATTCGCGCGTAAGCTGCCCGCGTAAGGTCGCGCGATTGCGCCCTCGTTTTCAATGTGGCGTGCCGCGCTGGCGGCCCGCGTAAGCTGCCGCGTAAGGTCGCTACGTCATCTCGCGTAAGACCCGTTTTTGATCGTCGTTTTTTCTGGAGGCCTCCAGAAGTCCTTCGGGGGTGTCCCAGAGGGAGGTGAGGAGGGTGGTGAATATGATGGCTGGGGCCATGAGATCTCAGTGTTTTCGTGTCTCCTCTTCTTCCTTCGATGACTCTTGCTGGGTCGCGTACCCCCACCAGCCCATCCAGGAACGCTTTCCAGGAACGACGACGACGGGAGCAATCCATCGCGGGTCATCCGCCTCTTGGAGGTCCCAGAGGGTGGAAACATAAATGTTGCAAGCGCGACAACGCCGAACTTTTCGTAGAGTGGAAACCCACGCTAAGAAACACCCTGCTTGCCTCCAGGGTGCCCCGGGTTTCTTGGATTTCAATAGTTCTATTTATATATCTATATATCTGTATATATATATATATAAAATACATAACGTTCCCACACTACAGATCAATCAACTTCCTGGAGTCTCATGGTTGGGTTGCTTGTGGAATATTTCTTGTGGTCGAGCTCCTACTGTACACGTCAGCGTCCGGGGTGGCGAGATCCACCATGGGGTCTGGATCTCGTGCTTCGAGGTGTGAGCTATGCTGTGTTGGAGGTCCGAGGTCCGAATTGCTGGACCACGTCGAGGGGAGACTGCCCGCGAGGTGTGCAGCTCTTCTGTCCCAGTTGTTGCAAAACTGCGAGGCGTGTCCCCTTCCGCATTTACGCCTGGCGTGCAAGGCGCCGGAGATTCACGAATGCATGTGAGGCCTTCCCTTCGAGGGTTGAAGGAGTTGTCATCTCTTCCTCGGCTAAAAACGGCGGAAGGGCGGCGGAAAGTCGGCGGAAGTAAAGCGAGGCCGCCTTCGCCGGCGGAAAATGGCGGATGCTCGGCGGCAGCCTCGACGGCTCAAAGGATTTTGCGCACGCTCAGGGCGTGCTGGGTTGCAATTCCCTGCCCGACAGACTCCACCGATCTCCCCACCCAGCTAGAGAGCGGCCCATGCGCGTCGGCGCCTAGGAGGGCCAGGTGGGGAGCAACGGCTTCCACGTCGGTGAGGTGAGCGCTGGCACGATAGTCCTGGACCTGGAGAAAAGATACGGCATGCCCACGACGGCCTCCAGGGAGCAAGTGCACTGGGGAGGCAAACGGGCCCTGAGACGGCTACGAGACGGACAGGTGTGGTACCATGGCAGGAGATACGCTCGGGCCAACGCCGCAGCTCTCCTCTCAGATCATAGATGCCGAATGGCCCATGGAGATGCTAGACCTTCCCCTTCCTGCACCTCTTCGAGGACACCACCAGAGGGTCTACCCGAACACTATCCTAAGGCGGCCACCTGCGCCGCGAAAAGTCACACCCGTTTCACTCGACTCAATCGCCACAAGCAGCTGCTGACTTTTTTGGACATACAACTGCGAGAGTTTACTCAGAGCAGACCGTCTCGGAGACTAACTTCGACAAGCTACCAAAGCTGAAGTCTCGGTGGCGTGCCTACAGAGTACACTCCTTGAGTCTTGCTTACCCTGGACTACGGAGGGATACAGGGTTACCCGCGCACCCCGCACGACCCGCACCAGCCGCGACGGATGCCTGATCGCTTTCAGTTTCCGCCATTTCCAGTTGTCCGAGGTCCGGGTATCACATACTTGGTTGGCTGAAAGGCTGCAGCGCTTCCGCTTCGCAAGGAAACGCACCAAGGAACGCGACACCTGCATCCTGAACGGACATGCCCCCCTGAACGAGGTCAGCCACGCGAGCCCGGGGGGTGGACCATCACGAAAGAATTGCAGCACATCGAGACTTCGGAACAAGTGTTGGTGCCAATGTTGAGCTGCGCTGCGGCAGATCCCGCGCCGTACCGCCCTGATAGACACTATGGACGCCAATGCCGCCGTGCCCCCGCACTTACCACGTGTTGGCTTGGCTGGACAGAGACGCTCCCATGCGGCTACCAATGGCAATGGCGCCCGCTTGCTGGTCTTACTGCAGATGTTCAACTTAGTGGCCCTCAACACGTTTGGCAAAACGACACGGCATAATGGCACATGGAAACGCACCACTGGGCGAGGATGGACGACTATTGACTACGTCTGTACTAGGCTATCTGGGTGGAACGGCAAGTGCGCGGCCCCGCTCAAAAGCTCCCTGTCAGCATAGGAGGCTATCCAGACCACCGACCCGTCGCAGCGCAGATCTTCGTTGGACTACGGGCCCGCCGAATACCTGAGGAGAAACCAGCACGGTGTGATCGTGATGCCCTGATGCAAGATTTGAAGCTCCTGAGAGACCCAGATGCCGAAGTTCCCCAGCGACTTATTGATATGCGAGTGCATTTTTCTGTTTTACTCAACCGACGACAAGTCACTGGTCTGCGGCAGGAGGGGTGTGGAACCAACCAGAGATACGCTACACCTTCTGACTACTTCAACGCTGTGGAGCACACGCAGGTTGAGGCGGCGACTCCTTCTCACATCCCCCAGCCGAAGATGAGAACTCGCCCCAAGCTGACCGACGATACCCTCGCCCTGATCGAGAAGAAACACCGGATCCAACGACGCATGGCAGGAGTGCTGGACCAGGACTCCGACGGCGACGCTCTTCTCCAGGCAGACTTCGGCGGAGCAGCCAGAGCAGCAGCCAGAGCCGCACGTGCTGAACGGCGCCAGCGGCTCGCAAATGCGGCCAAAGAGGCGGAGGCGGCGGAGGCGGCTGGGAACCCACGCGAACTCCACAGTGTCATTCGCCGCCTAGCCCCGAAGCCAGCTGCGCCAGTGGTGACGGTCTGCAACCCCTCCTCTGGGAACATGTGCATGGGCGCAGAAGAAGAAGCTGAAGTCCGTGTCGGTGCCCTGTGCAACATCTCCGATGGCTCGGTGATCGACATGTAATCTTTGCGGGCCGCGTGGACAGCCACCTCGGGGCGGCTCGCGCATTGGCCCATGCAGCGCCGAGGGCGTCAAGAGAGCTATCATCAATATGCCCAACTACTAGAGCGCACCTGTCCTGAAGATGACCGGCTCAGATAGCCTCGACCCCATGAGTAAACCACGCGACGGATCGATCATCGAAGTGTGGAAGCTACTGGTGTCAGAGACAGCCCCCGTCTTTCTTGTTGTTTTCCCAGTCATGCCAAGCTCTTGGGCATTCTGCCCAACGGTTCAAAGACGGAGAAACAGCGTCGCTTCGCAAACCCAAGGGAGATGGCAGAATCGCGAAGGACCACTACCGAGCCATCGATCTGATCAACCACATTGACAAGGTCTATATGAATGTGACAGTGATGCCAGAGTCTCGCGGCCTAATCCCCCGCCTCTCCGGCTCGCAGTTCGGGGCATTTGCTGGCAGATCTACCCGCGCAGTTGTGGCAGAGGTCGCGCGCCGCTACCGTCTCCATGGGCGAACCTCCCGTTTAGGCAAATGTACGATGCCAGGTGTGCTGGTGGCCGTCCTGATTGACCGCGAGAAGGCCATCGACCTGGTCGACAGAGATGAGATATGGATTGCCCTGGAGAGGCTGGCTCTGAAGCGACGCGTTCGTCTTGCAGTCGAAGAACTCCATGGAGGCGCGCGCTACGTCGCCCGAGACATTCGGACCAACCAGCCCACCGAGAAGCTGCTGATCCCCAGAGGAGCACGGCAAGGAAATGTGGAGGGCCCGCTCCTGTTGGTGGCCGCGCGCGACCTCCTCGCCTCCAGCCTGGAGCAGAGCCGCGCTCTGCCCGAATTCACAGTGGTCTCTGCGACGTTCGGCCCGACATGTGAAATATTCGTAACTTTCATTTCCTTCCTGGGACCGATGATGGGGAATGTCTGATTGCATCGTCAGAAAATTTGCAGACGGCTGGATAGCGTTCACCATCGTCGAGGATTTCGAACCGGCATAAAGGTTTCTCTCATTCCTGAAGCGCGTGATCACGAAAGGAAAGATGAATGTGAATGACACGAGAACGAAATTATCATCGCCACGGCCGGCGGTAAAAGCAACGCTCGCGAATCCACGATCCGACCCAAACAAACAAACATCACGCTGGAAGGGGCGCCGATCGACGCCGCCTCGAGCGCGAAATACCTGGGGGCCAAACAACGCGACGACAGCGCGATGGTCGAGGGAGTTACCCACAGGATCCAAGGACGAAATGCTGCCCATGCCCGCCTCGCAAGATGCGCGTTCAAGGGGCAGTTCAGCGTTGAACTTAGAGTTCGGTCGCGGTGCTCACTGGTCCGCGCGCCAGCGCTTTACGGTCTGGAAGTTGCAGCGCTTACCAAGCGCGATGCGACTCGCCTCGACAACTGACAGACGAGAAAGTCGAGATTACTTGCCAGGTCGCCCGCGCATGTGCATCATAGAGTAACGCAGCAGTCCGCCAACGAACGCGTGCACCAACTGCAGCCCCGCCCCCCCCGACCTCCAGGAGCACCTTCAGGGGGGCCTGGCCGGGGGGGGGCCCGCGAGCCCCCCGTTGACTTTAAGTGCGACCCCGCGAAGATGGCACGAGCAGTAGTCTTTGGCAGGTTCAACCTCGAGGGCCCCTTACACACATAAGTAACTTCACTCTTGGGAGTGCATCGAGATGATCTCGGACGTCCTTGGAGGACCCCCCCCCCCCCCCCTGAGGCCCAACAAGAAGCCCGTGTTGCCCATGACCTCCAAGACGTGTTTCCGCGCCCTGCTCGCCCCTGGATTCGGCGGTTGCGCTGCGCCCCCAGAGCCACAATCAGGAGTGCGAGGCGAATGGCCACAGATGACGAGGAGAGAGTCGCTGCAGGATTTGCCCCCCCACCTGACGCACTACTCCCTTGCCCGACATGCTCCCGCATGTGCCATGGCCCCAAGGGCCTAGCCAACTACATGTTGTTGACACATGAGATGCATGGGGACCTCGCCGACGATCGCTGGCGCGCCCGAGGTGCAGGATCGTTGGCGCGCCCGAGGTGCAGGAACACATGTAGCCGAAACTATACCTCCGTCAGGCATGTACTCAGTGGAAGATGTCGCGCGCCCTTGCTGCCCTCGGCTCAAGCCTCTGCGAGCCAAGCGCCCGACCAGCCTGCCCAATATCCCCCAGCTCCTTTGCCTCGCCACGTTCGCGCCGTTAGCGGAGATCAACGGGGCGAAGCGATCGAGCGAGACCAAGGGAGTGGGCCAGACGGACTTGTCGAACAACGACGAGATCAAGCCCACTCTCCGCCTCCAGAATTTGATGCGCCGCCTCCGGCCCCAGCGCGAGGCAGCCCGCCGGGACGACGCGAGGGGCGACAATTTTGGCCTCGCCCTCAAGGTCGGCACGAAGCTCGAGCTGGCGCTGGAGGGAGGCCCCCAGAACTACGTCGCGACGGGCAAGGCGCGCGGGAAGGCGGGAACTTCCAGAGACACCTTCTCGGGAAGAAGCCAGACGCGCTCCCGGGGGGCGCGATCTTCCGCCTCGCCGAGGCCTACACGGGCAACGCCAAGGAGGTAAGGGACGCGGCGACGAACAGCCAGGCCCACGAACTGGCCCCGAACGCACTGCAGGTGCTGAAGCAGTGGGGGGCCATCGCTCAGAACACGGATGCGATCGCGCGAGCGACGATATGATTCATGGTCAAGCTGACAGAAGGAGCCGAATACCAAGTTCGCTGGATCTGGGCAGTCAACCATCACCCAGACCTGAAGTCGGCGCTGACCGTCCAGAGGATGAGCCGCGCCACAGACTAACACATGGACGGGTGGAAGCTCATCTCGTATTCTCTGGTGGTCGCGGGCGCTACGCACTATATCCTTTCCTGGGTGCGACGAGTATCTCCGGCCTCGGCCGCGATGGCCACTCGTGCAAAACGTTGCAAGATTTTCACGGATTGAGGGTGGGTCGTTTACGATATGTGGCCGATCTTCTTTGTGTACTTCGAGTTCGAGGGGTCGAACGGGTGCGTGATTGACGCGGGGGGTGGCCGCCTCGGACTTGCGTGTTGCTCTCTGTTTTTTTCCTGTGCTGCCTCTCGGTCTAGACCATTTGAGTTCTCTTGAGTATTGCTTGAGGGGGGCGGTCGCCCATGCCCCGGAGGGGGACGAGGGCGCCGCTGTCACAGCGCCGCCTCCGCAGAGGCGGGGGCGCGCGGGGGTGGGGGGCGGCCTCTCCGCCCGAGCCCGCGCGCGCGCCCGTCGGTGGGCCCGCCGTTCGGAATATAGGTTTTCGAACGTGCCGATTTCGGTTGAATTTTTCTTGGGCCCCTCAGCGTCCTTCCTTGGAGGTTCCTGGGCGCAGCTGTTTAAAAAAAGGATGCTCGGCGGAAGGCGGCGGAAGTGAAAGATGTGCCCCCAAAAGATGGAAACGTTACTGGGTTCAGGGTTTCCGATATCGCTCATGTGACGGATGATGCAGTCACGGGGGGGCCGCGAATCAACAGATGCAGGCATCTTTGCCGAACTCGCAGCAGGTCTATTTGAGCAGTCATGCCGAGTCTCACCACAGGCAGGGGCCGCCATCGGCAACCATCGAGAACCAATGCAGACGCCAGCCAGGCGCGCGACGCCCGCGAGGTTCGCCGCGCGTGCCAGGTGCGCCACGCGCACCAGCTGCGCTAGGCGTCACGCGCACCAGCTGCGCACGGGCCCAAGCGTGCCAGGCGCGCCTGATGCGCCACGTGTTCCGCGCACGCCCAATGTGCCATGTCGTGTTTTCCAGCCGCGCCAGGTGTGCCATGTGCGTGTCGCGGGCACCTTGCGCGAGGTGCGCCAGCGCACGTCACAGCACGCTTCGGGCAATACGTCGATCCCCCAACATACGTTGTCAGAAAACAATGTAAATCGACGGCGGGTTGACCAGCATTGTGTATTGTGTGTTGTGTGTGCGTGCGCCTGCAATCACTCATTGAGCAGGCAGTTTGGAGAACAAATGGGTGATGGGCTTGCGCGCAGCGGGCAACATGATGCCCCCCTGCCGCTCCTGTCGAACAGATGCCAAGTTACGCAGGGTGCCCGAACATGATCTAGATTTCGCCGCGAAGTGGAATTTGCTTGTTGGATGACAAGGATGACGGGGGCCATGTTCCTGGTCGGTCGCTGGTCGATTGGGGGATGGGGTCTTTACCTCGCAGGCACGGTTGCGGGTAAATCGCTGATGAGCCCCTCCCCGAAGGGGGAGGAAAGCGTCAGAGGAACTGACCCCTTGAACCACATGCGCCCAGAGGGTTGATGGGATTACACCCCCTGGCCCCCGGTGACCCGCGCGCGTGCGTCGGGCCGTGATGTGCTAACCCACTTCGTCGTGGCCCCCCTCTTCGGCGCACCCGAGTCCTCGAAGGCCTTTTGAGGCCACCGTGAGGCGCAAAAAGGGCCGAGAGCAGTTCAGAACCAGGATCCCCGACGGCATGTTTTTCCACAGCGCGGACCTTCTGTGGAGGTCTCGACCCATTCCTCGGGGCCGGCCTTTCATCCCGAACCGTTTTCTGACGGTCCCGAGGCTCGAGAAGGGCCCCAGGACGCCGAAGTGGAGGAAAAACCTTCCGTCGTGTGTGTTTCCCTTACCATCCTGTGGTTTTGGGTCCTCGTTTTGAAGAAGCAGCGCCCCGCGTTTCCTCACTCCTCTCCTCTTTTCCTTCCCCTCCTCCCTCGTCCCATCCCGTGTCCTCATCGTCATCGTCCCCTGTACCATGTCGGCAAACCTCTCCCACGTTTCGTGGCCCCACAGGGAGCTCCACCGAAGGCCCTAGTGGCATGGTCCACATGCGGCTCCCCGCCCACCACATGTCCATTTGGGCGCACCCCTCACCCGTTTCGTCGTGACCCCATATGGAATTCCACCGACGGCCCCAGTGGCATGGTCCACATGTGGTTCCCCGTCCGCCGCATGTCAATGTCGTCGCACCCCTCACACGCTTCGTGGCCCCATAGGGAGCTCCACCGAAGGCCCCAGTGGCGCATAAGGTTGGGTCTCTCTCGTAAGGTTAATTTTTCTGGCGGGAGGAGGAGGAGGAGAAGGAGGAGGAGGAGACGACGACGACGACGACGACGACGACGACGACGACGATGACCACGACGACCACGACGACCACGACGAAAGGACGACGACGACGACGAAGGGACGACGACAACGACCACCACCACCACCACCACCACCACCACGACGACGACGACGACGACGACGAGGGGCTCTGGGAACGCCGAACACCTCGAGCTCCCCGACCCACGCGCCCGCGTCTCCCCTGGGCGAGGCGCTGGCGGAGGAGGGCGAGAGCAGCGACGAGCTCCTGCTGGTCGACCGCGGGGAGGTCTCGGTGGAGGTCGCCGGCCGCACCGTGCGCACGGAGGAGGCCCGCCAGCCGGAGAAGGGAGGCAGCAGGGCGGAGGGAGGGGAGGGCCCAGACCTCCTCGCGTTGTGAAAATCACGACGGGAGGTTTTTCGCTAGTTTTCGGCCTGCGGGGGCCCCTTCCCCGGCCTCGGGACTGTCAAACAATAATTCAGGATGAAACATTAGACCCAGGGAAGAGGTCCAGACTTTGGGGGTCGACGTTGTGGAAAAATCACGACGTCGGGGGTTTGGGGGGGATGAGGAATATCAGACGGGCCTAGAATCGAGATAGATCCGTTGCAGAGCGTTCCGGGGCGCTCCGAAGCGGCCGCGGCGCCCGATGCATGCGCCAAGCCCGCCGAATCTCAGAGATGTCCGATTTCTATCGGTCCGATTTTGTGTTGGATTCTGCCTTCGTCTTCGGTCGGGAGCCTTGAGACGGGGGTCAAAGCAAACGGGGGTCAGCCTGAGCGCCGGATCTTGCAGGGTCCTGCAGAGCTAAGGGTGCATTGACCCGGACTTACGTGTAGGATGCAGAGTCCTGCCGGATTTTGCAGGATCCTGCAAAGCCCGACTGGCCCTGGTTTGGATTGACCGGGGTCAGTAGATCCCCGAGGCGGAGGGAGGGGAGCGGGAGGAGGGAAGTCAGAGGAGGAAGAGGCCCCGATACTGCCGCTCGTCCTAGAAAGCACTCTCCGCCACGGCTTGATTCTCTCCGGCATTCTGGTCATAACGCACACCAGGAGCGGTCTGAGGAGCAGCGGTATTGGTATCTTTGGGTTTCACAGGGGGAGGGAGTGGTGGACGGGAGGAGGGAGACGGGAACCGGAGGGTGGTGCAGGAGAAGGAGGAGGAGGAGTAGGAGGGGGGGGGAGGTGGGAGGGAGAAATGAGGAGGGAGGAGGGAGGACGGAAGAGTGAAGAGGGAGGGAGGGAGGAGGAGGAGGAGGAGAAGGAGGGAGGAGGAGGAGGAGGAGGAGGAGGATAGACCTCCCAACAGGCAGGCCACTGGCGAGCCATTCAGAGATTGGATAAGCAGTTTACCATACATAAAGTCAAGGCACACCAGACTCTCCAGCGAGGAGATCGAGAATGGGCAGATCAACTACGAGTAATAGGGAATGCCTGGGCCGATGTCATGTGTCGTGAGGCCGCCCGTGAATATGCCTCCCCCCAGGACGCCGAGGCCTGTAAAGAATCCCTAGACGGTTGGTTTGCTGTGTTTAAAGCTGCGGTGTCGATTTTAGAGCTCTGGCCTTCAGCTAGGGAAATGCACGGCACCCTGGAACGAGAATCGAAGAGTTTAAGGCCACCCCCCCGAAACCATAGGCAGCACAACGTTTTGTGGAATGGCCGATTGTGGCAGTGCCTCTCGTGCGCTAAGAGCTTCAGGTCTCCCCCTTCGCGCACGAATCGGTGTGCTGCCCTCCCTCCCACCTTTGGGGCCCTGGTGAGGGGATGCAACCTTCCCACCCCAGAACACAGGATGTGGGCGTGCAAGGTTGTTTCTTCAGGCATTCCTGTCCTGTACTGCTCGAGGTGCGGGTCGTACTGCACCCGCACTCCCAAGCACCTCCTTGGACCCTGCGCTAAGATCAAGAAAGCTCAGGTTCGCTGTTTTCGCCGAGGCATTTTGCCTTGGCCCAAAGGCACCCGTCTTTCCCGCCCATGGAGAGTCCTCCACGGAGCTGCCCAGTGGTGGAGGGACCTGGGTGGGGAGTTGGGTGGGGATTGGGATCGTTCAGCGGCTGCGCAGCCCGCAGCCGATTCTGTTGAGTCTGTCCGTCCTGCCGTCGCCGCGCCGTCCCGCGCGAGCGACTTCGAGGAGGAGGAGGAGGCGTCGAGGTTTCTTTTCGGGCCCCTGGCCGTCGGCGCCACCTCCCCCCGCGGAGCGAGGGCCTCCCTGGCCCATACAGGGGCCAGGGGCCCCCCGCCTTTGGTTCCAGGGCAGGTCTCGGACGACTCCGACTAATCTTTCTCCCGAGGTCAGGCGAGCCTGGATTTGGCTGACCTCTTAATGCCCATGAATGAATGAATGAAGGAGGATAGAGAGAGAGAGGAGGAGGAGGAGGAGAAGGAGGAGGAGGAGGAGGAGGAGACGGAATAGAGAGGTGAGAGATGAGAGAGAGAGAAAGCGGAGAGAGAGGAAAGATATGAGAAAGAGGAGAGAGAGACAGAGAAAAATAGAGAAACATCACATGAGGATATATAACGAGAGAGAGAGAGAGAGAGAGAGAGAGAGGGTGAGATCGGACAAGTAGGCGGACCAGGGTCCGTCCGCGAGGCGCACTGCGGTGCGACAACTCGCATGCACTATTTGCGGCGGTGCAGCCTTTAGATACGAGGGCGGGCAACAAAAAACCCCTCCCCCGGCGCAGTGCGACAGACGCTACAGACGGCGGACAGACGATGATGATCTCACCTGTCAGACCGCGTGAGGAAAAAGGCCCCAACAAGAAAGGCGACGTGCTGACACGTGGCTAGGCGGCTTGGCAGACCGCCAGTTGGGCGCTTGGCCGCAAAGCGGCGCGCAGTGACGGGGCACCCCCCGCCCCCACGCCCTGACACCGTGGACGCGGAGCCACGCGTACACACGGGCAGGCAGAAAGGAGGAGATTAGCGCGGGGCACCAGGTGGAGCGCCGCGGAACGATGACAACATAGCTTGGATGTTGAGTGTCGGCACGGCACCATCGGGCGAGGCCGTGAGCAGCTCGGCGAAGGCTCGCCCAGCACTGTGGAGGCGCTGGAGTAGAGGGCCTTGACGAGCTTGGGCGGCGGCGAGGTCAGCGGCGAGAGCTAAGCACCTCTGCTGGAGGGCAGCCATAGCCTGTGACAGCTCGGTTTCGCGGTCGGCGAGGGGTGGCTGCTCTGTGCCAGCAGCCGAGGGCCTCGAGACAGGGGCGGTGTCCTCGGTACGCCTGTCCAAATGGTGGACTAGCGTAGTACGGGACCCAGTACGCTGGCGTCCGTCACCCTTGAAATGTGATTTGAGGGGCCGACGCGACCCCAGGGCTGGAGCCGCTAGGGCCACGCCCCGAGAGGTCGGGGGAGCCGCTTCCTCTCGCTCAGCAACGATGGACGCGTGGATGGGGCACGAGGGCCTGTCTGGTTTAGTACCCTGCGGGGGGGCTGAAGCCGCCCCCGCGAGCTGCCGGCGGTGGGGGGGTGGAGTGGTCTGCGCGGTGGGGCCAGTGGTGATGCCGTGCAAAGGCTCTGAGGTCGGTCGCGTAGAAGGTTGGCGTCTCGGTAGGTCGGCATGGTCAGCAGCGTGTGGTATCGGCGGTGCGTCCTCCATGCCACTCGGTCCTCGGGGGTCACCCAGGTCATGGTCGGCGTCCTGGCGGTGGCCGATATCATCGTATGTGGGCGATATCGCTCTCGGGGACGAAGTCGCAGTAGGGGTCGAGAGGTTTCCCGACAGGGCGGGGTTTTCGCTGGCTGGTCCGTCGTCCACAGCGTCCGATCCCCCACCGAAGCTGAACAGGTCATCCTCCTGTTCGTCAGCGTCTTGAAAATGAGCGGCGTTGTCATGTGGGTGCGCTGCCGCTCTAGATGGCGGAGTCGGGGGCGCCGTGCGGGTACCCGACGGGGCAGGGTTGGCGCTGGCTGGCCCGTCGCCCAGGAAGTCCAGGCCCCCGCCAAAGCCGAACGGGTCGTCCTCCTGTTCGTCGAATATCGCCCGTTGGGCCTCGGCCCAGAGCTCGTCGGGGTTCTGTGGGATGTCTGGTCCAGCCGCGGGTGGTGCCTGGTCAGACAGCAGGGGGTTTGGTTCCATTTTGTTTAGTTCCGCAGCTGTGAACCCAGCCCTGCGGTGTGGGAGGGGGAGTGTACGGTGTCTACGCTCGTAGATGGCGACAGCGACTCCATGCAGCACGGTCGCTTGGCGATGTCGTGATTTGGCAGCTTCGACAATGTCGTCTGGAAGGTTATGAGTACGTGCCGCCGTTGTGGCGAGGGCGTCAGCCTGACGATTGAACTCCTCCGCGATGGGCCCGATGAGCCCGAGGTCGATGCCCATGTCGCCCTGGTGGCTGGCGACTTTCTCGACGCGGAACATGTTGGGCTTGGCCATGACGCATCGGTGGACCTTTTCCCAGAGCTCCACGTGCGTGCCCTGCGGTGGTGAGTGTCCGTCGATGATCCTTTGGAGACCGTCAACCACCGCCTGGTTGTCCACGAAGACGTGTACGGGCCGTTCGGCACATGCCGTGAGGTGGACAATGGCGAGGGTCTCCGCAAGCTGTGCGTTCTGCGTGATGCCGTGAACGCGTGCACTGTAGTTCATGCGGTGGTCGATGCCGTAGTAGACGCCGTAGCCCGCTCGTGCAAGCAATGGGATGGCTTGGTTGGTGCATGCACCGTCCGTGGCAGCGTAGACCCATGTCCAACCAGTGTCATGGTCAAGGTAGGTGGTGTAGGAGTCCTGGGCTGAAGCCGCAGGATCTCCCTCAGGTGGGGGCCGCGGTATGGGCTGAGGTAGCGGGTCCCTCGCGAGGTCGGCCTGCAGGTCGAGGAGGGCTGGGTCTTCATCGAAGAGCCCGCAGTGTCTTGTGTGCGGTGGAAGACGGGCCCACTGCTCGTCACTGATGAGGGTGGTAAGAGGGACTCTTTCTCGGGCCCAGCACTTGCAGTCGCGAACAGTGTGCTCCTGAGTTTCCTCTTCCTCGTCGCAGTATCGGCAGATGGGGCTGGGGTCAGCGGACGTGTTTGATCGGGATCGTCGCTGTTGGGTGTGGTCCCCGCCCGACAGGTAGTTAAGGAGGAGCGCCAGCTGCCATGCGTTGCATTTGGCTGCTCCTTTCGTTCGGGCGAGCCACGTGCTGGCGAAGAGGTCGAGGCCCTGTCTGACAGAGGCCAGGTGTCCAAGGTCATGACGCCGTGGCTTGATTTTTCTCAGAAAGGCTCTGCGTTGTGAGGCTCGCAGCATGTGAAGGAAGGCGTTTTGGGGTAGGTTCAGCCAACTGATCTGACAGCCCCAGTCGTCGTACATGATGCCAAATGTGGGCCAGGTCCAACGGAG